CCAGCCCCCAAGCACAACCTCCTCTGGGAATAAACCAGGTGTGCCAGACCTCCTTTGAACTCTGACTCCACATTTTAGTATTTCCATCACAAGGAATTAGCATTCGCTAATTTATAAACATTTCTCTCTACTCCCTCCCAGTGGGGATGTGGACTGTTTTGTGTCCCCCAGCCAGAGGAGACAGGAGACACTTCCCGTAGCACTGGAAGCACCAGGCACACTGTTAGCTGTCTGTACTCTCTCTCTTGCTGGCGGTGTGCAGACTCCCGCCTTGTGGGTGAGCTCTGGGGGACCTGGACTGGCCTGTGAAAGCCCTCATTATAATTGAGCCCCAGAAGGGGCCATGTGGCTGCACTCTGAACCCGAAGACCAAAAAGCCATTTCAGACCGGGAAAGACACAGAGAAGTCACCCTGCAAATTGATCCAATGGGGAATCTGCATTTCTTTCCAGTCCCCTGACATCCGATCTGAGGGCTAAAGGGGACTCGTCAGTCATTACCGCTAATTTTCTGAAATGTAGAAAGGTCATCATTACTTTTCCAGCTGTGGCATAAGCCCACCTTCTGACGACAGCCGGCATCTACCTCGGCCTCACATCAGCCAGGTAGTCGCCCACTCTTAATTCTTCTTCATGTCAAACAGAAGGGACGTGGAGTGAAATGTGTGAGCCTACCTGTTTAACAGTCCCTTGTCACATCTACAATTTTCACTTTTTCTGCTTTCCGTGCTTCCTTGAGCGTCAGAGGTCAGGAAATAGAAGCATACCTGCCGTTCAGGTGCCGAGAAGGTGCGGGGAAACAGCCAGGTGAGGATCCTGAGGAAGACATTTAGAAGAAACATGGAGGAAACAAAACAATGGAGTTTTGTTTTTTCTTAGGCTGGTAGGAAACCCCGTTTCAAAGGTGGAAGTGTCATTTTACAGTCTCACTGCTCTGCCCGACAGGAAATGTGTGTTGGCTCTCAATCCTAATTTGGGCGTGTTCCTGTGGCAATGTTGAGCCCTCTCCTAAGGGAAACAGAAACTTAATCAGGCAGGAAACGAGATAGCCTGCCAGAGCCCTTGTAGCTCAGCGTGGCCACAGTGCCAGCGCTGCGGGTGGAGGCAGTTAGAGAGAGGAAGCATGTAGATCGCACTGGGCACAATGAGAGTTCGAAGACTGCCCGTGGACATTCAGATTGTCTACTGTGCCCGACCGGCGGACCAGGAGCCTTTCGTGAAGGTACGTGGGGGCAGGTCCCTGAGCCAGCACCGGGCTGGAGAATCCTCCGTGATCTGCCATTCAGTGGGTCTTGAGATGCCGCCGCATTAGAGAGGCCTGTGCTGAAGTGCGGCAGGCAGATGTTCCTTCTGGAAATGTGTGTGGCCCAGGGGCCGGTCCAGCCGCACGAATGGCAACGGCCATTCCCTTTTCTCTAGTCAGAAAGCCACGTTTTGGTTTTTCTAGTAGCATTATTCTGTATTCTGTAAATGATCGAGGTCACCAAAAAGGATAGAACTTAATGCGTTCACAGTGCTAGGTTTGTGATTTTTTTGACAGCTTTTCCTTCAGACAGATCTTCCTGAAGGAGTAATAAGGCTTAAAAGTTCATCTCCTTACCTGTAAATCTGACTCAGACAGGAGCAAGTACTTTATGTCGATCCCTGTGCATTTTAGAAATTGAAGCGTGCATGATCAGACAGCTTTCGTTAGATGTAACTTAAATGTTACATTAAATCTGATGGCAAGGAATTTTGAAGAATTAATCGCCTGATGGAGTTGTCAGTTTCAAGATAACCCGGTGACTTCTACAGGCGTTAGAAGGGGCAGGAAATGAATTCGAAGGGGAAATGGAATTTGGTGAACCATACATAGAGCTATAAAATAATGTATGTGTATACCATAATATTTCTCAGGTTAGCAGGAAGGAAAACACTGATGTGTTTTGAGCTGTACCTAAAGATTCTAGAATTGAGAATAAAGCTCTCTGTGCCTCTTGGGAGTGTCATTCCTCGCAATCCTGTTGCCCTTCTTGTTTCATTCAGCCAGCCCGCCGTGTTCGCAGCTTTGAGAAATCACATCAGGAACTGCCTAAGAACCCGTTCTGTTCCTCCCCGTTTCTAGTGGGCTTGTTAAATGGGCTGTGACTGGTGCCTTAGCAATGCAGACTTGGAAGCAGCTTACAGGGGAACAATGGGGAGCATTTCACAGGTGAACCAGAGTCAACCTGACTGCACATAACAGCTTCTCCCCAAGTGGCCATGCCAACAGCAGGGAGACTGAAAAGAGAAACAGAGGGCTGTCATTTGCACGAAACAAGTGCTTCCGCTGGACTGTGTTACATTCTGCACTTGTTCTGAAGTGGAAATTTTAGCTATTTCCCCAAAGTGCTGTTTCGGTTTACACCCTGTGGTGCCTAAAGCTCCACATTGTAGAGGCCGTTTTGCACCTGGGGCGCTTGGGGTTTGAAGACAAATAAGCACATGACTTTTCTGGGTTGTGTTTGACCCGTTTCAGATCATCACTGTTGAGGAGGCCAAGCGCAGGAAGAGCACTTGCAGCTACTATGAGGAGGACGAGGAGGAGGCACTGCCGGTCCTGCAGCCACAGAGCACCCTCCTGGAGAACATGCACCTAGAGCAGGTGGGCTCCTGGCCGTGGAGAAGGGGGTCTAAATTAGGTTCCCCGATCTGGTCACTGGTATTCCTCTCCCTCTGGGGGAAGAATGAGCCAGGTCAGAAAGGAGTAGGGCCTGCGGCTTCACCAAACAAAAAGAAGTCCCCTTGTCTGCAGCAGCAGGTGCCAGGAGCGCCTCGGAGACGGCATCCCTAACCCACCAAACCCAGCTGAAGAGCCATTGCGAATGTCTTCCCGAGCGCTGTTTTCACAGTGTCCTGCCGTAGTCCTCGCGTCCCTGGCATTAGCTTCATGCAAACGGTCACTGTATGAAGCTCCATAGTAACCAAAAGGCTGAGCGTTCAAGTCTCCTCAGGAGACAGGCGTGAGGGCCTTTTAACAAAAAACCAGCTGTTGAAAACCCTATGGGGCACAAGAGCAACTGATGTCTCCTGGTTCTGATGTGCAGATAAACGGTCCCACTTTATCCTAGGGACCAGTACAGCATTCCAAAGACTTTGCTTTATTGGGCTTGATAAGCACTTGTTTCTGAAAAGCACCTGAAGAATGTCCCTTTTTCTGTATGTTGTGTGTGTGTCATTGTCTGAAAACCCCTGCCACTCTAAGTTTATGAAATTTTTATGAATATGGTAATGCACTTGTGTTTAAACCTTCAGGAAGGAATCTCTTAAACTTTCCTCACCCATCCAGCTTAGAAACATGAAGCTGTAGAGACCTCAGAGGATCATTAGAGACCCTGAACAATGCAAACAATACGAGGGGGTACCCCCCTGCAAAATGGATTTTTTCCCCCAAAGCTATGGATTAAATGTTTTTTACAAAACAACCTTATCTCCTTCAAAGTACTCTCTATTACACTTAGTACATTTGTCAAATCTGTAATTCCATTCTTGGAAACATTTTTCGAACTCATCTGTTTGGATGGCTGACAGCACCTCCCTCGCTTTGTTCTTCACCTCTTCTATGCTGTTCTTTCATGTCCCTCTTCATTAGTGGAAACAAAAAAAGCTGCATGGCGTGAGTGAGATAAGGTGTGTGGGGCAAGAGAGGCATGCTATTTTTTTGGCCCACAACTAGCACACCGAGATGGCTGTGAGCAGGTACATTGTCATGGTGGCAAAACCAGTCACCCATCTGCCATACATCGGGCCTTTTTTGTCACACAGTATTACACAATCTTTTCAGAACCTCTAAATGAAAAGCTTGATTAACAGTCTGACCTGCTGGAATGAACTCCAAATGCACAACAAGTTCAGGAAGTTGACAGACATCTAGAACGAGGTTTGTCATCAATCAACATTTCACCTTTTTTGAAACGAGAAAACCACTTGTACACTGAGCTTTATCCCATAGCATTGTTCTTGTAAGCTGTGTTCAACATCACAGCAGCATTTTTCCAGAGCAGGAAACAAAACTTCACAGCCACATGCTATATTCTCTTAAACCGACCATCACCCAAAAATGAGGTTTGAATGAAACTGCTCTTACGACAAAATACACTCTGACCAATGAGAACCTTCCCAGGCGATGCCACAGGGTGCACTAACTCAGAGCAAGTTGCTGATGCCCGCCTAGAGGGGATAATGCATACTACGAAAGCTCCACCAGTAGAGCTTTCCCCTTTTTCTTTGGCAGGGTGGGGCTCTCATATGTTTGGCTGCTAACCTAACATGTAAAGGTTCTGCTGTATATATTCTCAGCAACAACAACCAAACAAATAACATTATATTTAAAAAGAGAAAGGGGGAGGGAAAGTGAAGAGATTCAGATCTACCCCGAAGGCCCTGGGGAAAGACTGGATATCTGCTTCGAAGAAACCAGCCAGTGGAAGCTGATAGGGTGAGGTTCTGTTCTGACTCACGCACAGAGGTTGTCAAGCGTGTGGACTGACTCTACAGCATTGGTCAAAGGATCAAGTTCAAAACCCGCCCTTAACAAAATAGTCCGTGAAAACCCAAGTAGGCCAGGAGACTTGACTAAGCAGTTCCAGAGGTGGGATTAATATCGATAGTAGAACTGATTTTAAGCACTCAGAAGGATCTAGAATAACAGTAGGCTGCTAACCCCAAAGATGGTGGCTCACCCACCAGCCGTTCCTTGGGAGGAAGAGGAGGCTGTCTGCTCCTGTAAGCGCTTGCAGAGCCTCAGAAACCCTACACAGCCTTGCTGTGAGCCACAGTCAACTCCAGGGCAGCGAGTCTGGGAACGTTTCTTGTTGTTGTTGTTATCCACCTTGGTTACGGTTTTGAAGATATACGCATTATTGACATTTACCATAAATAAGGGAAAGCTTAATGTAGATGAAAGCTACAGATGACACGAAGACAGACTACGTCTAACTGTTGTGTCCTCGTGCCAAGTTTCAACTCTTCATAATCCCATGTGACAGACGGAACTAGCCCATAGGGTTTTCTGGGGTGGGGATTTATACAGGAGCAAACTGCCAAGTCTTTTTTCTGCAGAACCCCTGACTCATGCAGCAAATACTTTTGTATTTGGATTAACATCTGAGCACTTAATGTTTGCACCGCCAGGGCGCCTTACATCTAATTCCTGGCTCTTGCTTCTGTGGAAAGTTACAGTTCTCATTAGAAGCTAGCTCTGAGTCTATAAGGTCTGGTAGAAGTCAGGTTAGAGCAGCGGTTCTCAACCTCTGGGTCATGACCCTTTGGGGGGGGGCTGTCAAACGACCCTTTCGCAGGGGTTGCCCGATTCATAACAGTAGCAAACTTACAGTGATGAAGTAGCAATGAAAATAATTTTATGGTTGTGGGGGTCACCACAACATGAGGAACTGTATGAAAGGGTTGCAGCATGAGGAAGGTTGAGAACCACTGGGTTAAAGGGTAAAAGTAAGAGCTTGTACCTAGTTCATACATAATTATCAAGCTAGACCCTGAGTCTTCTCAGCATGCCCAGAGAGGAAGGAGCATGCCCTTGACAGCCTCCCTGCCAAGGTAGACTCTGCTAGCACAGTGACTGTCCTTATCTTCCTGGGTTTATAAGGAGCCGTGATGGTACAGTGGGTTAAGTGCGAGGTGAACCAAAAAAGGTCAGTGGTTCAAATCCATCAGCCACTCTGTGAGATTAAGATGAGACTGACTACTTCAGTCAAGATTTACGGCCATGGAAATCGCAGTTCTGCTCTGTCAAATAGTATTGCTGTGAGATGACATCAACTCAGTAACGGGTTTTCTTTGGTTTATATTTGGCAGAGTAAACGGGAGCAACATATAAGTACATAGAGGAGTTAGATTCCCCAGGCAGTTGCGTTGTGCCACAAGGCTTTCAGCAATTTGTGGGTGAATTGTGTGTTTACATCTCCATCTTTGGATTTGCAGCTGGCCCGACGCCTTCCAGCAAGGGTGCAGGGCTATCCGTGGAGACTTGCATACAGCACACTGGAGCACGGGACCAGCTTGAAAACACTCTATCGGAAGTCAGCATCACTAGATAGTCCTGTCTTACTGGTCATCAAGGATATGGATAATCAGGTAAGCCTGTTGCTGTCATAGAACACCCATATTTTCTGAAGATTTTCAGATTTGCACGGTAGGACACAGGTTAGTGTAGCTGTTGAGAAAATCCGTGATTTAATCCAGTTGTGTTGCTGTTATTGCTGAGAGCTGTCAAGGCCATTCCAGCTCCTAGTAAAGCAGAAAGAAACAAGAGAGCTCTGACGAGTGCCTGCTGTGAGCCAGGCACTGTTCTAGGTGCTGCGTTCAAAACTGCGGTCTCTTTATAGCGCTTCTGTCTACAGGAGATAAAGGAGACACGACAATAATATAAATAAAATGCCCTATGTGTCCATTAAAAAGAAAAAGAGACTACCTGGTCTTGTAACATCGGAACCCATTATTCTAATCATTATGTCAACTCATCTTCTTCATTTTTGCTGACTCTCCACCAAGTATGATGTCCCTTTCCATGTCCGAATGTGTGAGATGGATGAAGTCTTGCCAGCCTCCCTTTGAATGCGGCGTCCAGCCGCACTTCTCTTGAGGTGGAGTTGCTCATTTTCTGGCAGTCCATAACAGATGCAGCATTTTGAATGCAGCGATTCATCTTCTGACTTCCTTTTACGTTGCCCAGCTTTTGCGTGCATGGGACAGCTTAGCAACAACTCACGGCCTTGGAATGATGCTGACTCATAGCAACTTTATAGGACAAGCTAGAACTGAGTAGAAAGCCTCATCCTTCTCCTGGAGAACACTTGGTTTGGAACTGCTGACCTTGGGGCTAACCACCCAATACATAACTAGGACACCAGGGTTCTTATATACATAAGAGGTGATTAAAAATATGATGACCTACGTCCAGTGAATCTTACTCCTAAAGGTGATGTTTTTGCTTTTTAACAATACCTTTTGCAAAAGATTTGACCAGTGTGGTACAGCATTTACATTCTTGACTGTGGACTGCTGTTTTCAGACGGAAGCATTTATTCTGGGTCCAAGGAGAATGAAATCCTTGACAGCTTCAGTCCTTTCTCTGCTTCTTGTGATGCTGCCTACTGGTCCCGTTATGAGACTGCAAGCCACAACTTTGTAACAAATTGACAGCCGCAGGGTGGAGTCCAATTATAGTGGTTTTCAAATAGTCCGATTTTTTAGATAATTTTCAGTGAAAACGCCGTGTCCCAAGTGGGGTTTTAAATAGAAAGCATATCCGAATGATGGTCAAAATTCATGCGTTGCCCATCCCTCCCCCTGTGAGTATTGATCAGGATCCGAGCAGAAGGATAGAAGATGAAAGAAGACCCGCTTCCTCTTCTGCAAACCGTCCTGCCTAAGGGACTGGGCTCTCCTCCCCATCTCCCAGCAACAAACAATCACATAGATCATGGATGCTAGCATCTAGACATTAATTTTAAAGTTCACAGTATGGGAATTTTATAAAGTCATTTCAGAGTAAGATCAGAGCAGTCATGTTAAGCATATAATTATTGATAAGAATAAGAATGTAGGTTTTACAAATCAAAGGGCAGGGGATAGTTTCTTTAGGGATATTTCTAGCCTTAATTATAGAAAACAGATAGAGACATGACTTGTTCTCCCAAGACCTCATTTCTGTTCAAGCTCCCGCTCTTTGTTGTTTAATAGTTCCCATATTTGTCTGTATTCACGAAGGAAATTTGTCGTCACAGTGGGTTTCAGAAGTCTTTTAAACTGGAACAAAGCCTTGGCCCTTGACAGACAAGTTCTCTAAGCTTCATCTGATGGATTTTCCATGCACCAGGGAGCCTGGCCACTTAGGTGCCAATTAGAGCTGGGGACATGTTGTTTACTCCTTTGCTATTGGCCTTTTTCATTTTAGAGCTTATGATCCATATTAAAAGGAACGCAGTGAAATCTGAGAGCAGGATTGTGTCAAAATATTTCAGAAAACCTTTGGGAGATTGGGGTTTGAAAATAGGTAACATTTCTGTTTTGTTTTGGTAGATTTTTGGAGCATACGCAACACATCCTTTCAAGTTCAGTGACCACTACTATGGCACAGGCGAAACTTTCCTCTACACTTTTAGCCCCAATTTCAAGGTAAATAGATGTGAAGAAATCCCCAACCTCCCAAGGTTGCCATCTCAGGAGTGGGGCCCAAGGGTGGGTGTGGAACAAGGGTTGTCCTATGACCTCATGTTGGCATAGCTACGTAAACCACGCTCCAGCCTGGGTCAGCATTTCCAGACTGTAACACACTACTTAGAGTCTCGCTTCACTGCCATTGAATCCAGCTGTTGGTTTCCAAGACTGTACTTCTTTATGGGAGTAGAAAGCTTGTCTTTCTTGCGAGGAGCAAGAGTGGCTGGTGGTTTTCAACTGCTGCTGACCTTGTAAGGAGCCCACCCTGTAACCAACTTAGGTCAGCAGGACTTCCTGATTCCAGGCCTTGGGAATTCTTGTACCTAATCTGGGATCCAGAGGGGGACCAGGTCTGGCGGCCCAGTGCCTGAAAGGCCTTTCCCTTTGGAGAGCTGATCCTGCAGTGGCCCAGGTTCTTCACTCTGGAGCCTCCTCAGCCACGAGGCTGGTTCCTTTGAATACACAGATAGGATCCTCGTCCTCCCTCTTTGCTCGTTCTCTTGATTAAAATATGTGTCCTCTGTCTTGCTTTTCTACCCTCAAGGTCTTTAAGTGGAGTGGAGAAAACTCATACTTTATCAATGGAGACATAAGTTCTTTAGAACTTGGTGGAGGAGGGTAAGATTTTATTGTTGTTGTGTTTAATTTACACCTGACCAGAGTAGATCTGTCTTGACTCAAATAACCAAAACCAAGATGCCAGGTGATTCTCACCAGTCCACGTATTTCAAATAATCAGGACAGTGGCCTAACACATGGCACTAAGTATCAAACATCAAACGAGTTACTTATGAATGTAATTGAGGCACTACTGCCATTGGTCGTTTAGGAAAGATGGCCATCTGAATGAACCGCGGGAATGCCTTCTTTGTTTGCCAAGCAGTGTAGCATTCATTTCCTCTGTTGCCAGAAGGAAGGGGAGAAGACTGGGTCAGGGGAAGACAGAGAGTATGCCGCATGTGCCTCACGTGTCGTCCTCACCCTTTGTTCTTGCCCTGCTCCAGGGGACGGTTTGGTTTATGGCTAGATGCTGATTTATACCACGGACGGAGCAACTGCTGCAGCACTTTCAATAATGATATTCTTTCTAAGAAGGAAGACTTCATCGTTCAGGACCTCGAGGTGTGGACATTTGAGTGACCCTGCGACTGCCTTAAGGGAAGAACATTAAAAGACTGGCTTTGGTCAGCTTCCCTCCAGTGGGCTGGATGACCAGGGCTCCAGCCCAGGCTGCTCACCCATCACTGCTTTCTTTCTGCCTCGTCTGGGAGTACCGTCACACTGCAGGAAAGACTGGAAAGGCAGGTGTATGTGGAGGGCAGGCACTGAGGAACGACATTTGAGGTCCCGCCTCCTTGGAATCCATCTTGTGAGGAATCAGAGTGTTTATAGATGTATGAGTTGAATGCAATTTTTATTTTTGGCAACTGTGAAAAAAGATACTGTGGAAATATATATATGCCTTGGGTATTTATCAGCATCATTTTCATTACCAAAATGTATAGCATACTATTGTTTGCCATGCAAGGGGTCTCACTTAGTAAAATGAAAGTACATACCTTCTAAAGGGGGAATGTTGATTTTTTAAAACCATTTATTTATTATTTCTAATACGTTGTCTGGAATGTGTTGGCAGTTGTTTTATTTTTCTCTTTTAATGTGTCAAATCTTGAAAAACATGTATAGATTTTATGTTGTGTTTTGCCAACAAGTTCATTTGATTTATGAAATTTTATATTGAATTTTTTTGCCCTAATTGTTTAGGGTGGTATGTCTTTAGAAGCATATGTATATCGAGTACATAATTTTGAATTTTTAAAAACTCATCACCAATGCTCCTTGGTTTGACTAGTGTAGGCCATTAGAAAGGTACATTTTTACTTACTCTGGACATATTTCTATACATATGTAAAGAAAAGCCATCTTTCACAACCACCATAAACTGAAGTTGATAAAAATGCATCTCTTTGTGAACCTGCACTTAAAACAAACTACTCTTGAGAAGAAAATGTTCTACTTCTTAGAAAATCATGTGTCTTTAAAAACTTAAGTTCATGGTGTGTTTTCCATAATTACCCACCTCCCCAAGTATTTACTTTAAGCAGGTTTTTGTTTTAAAAAGAACTGAGTGTTTAACTTTTAAAAATCAAATGAGAAATTTTAAATGAGCCCAACAGCCTTCCTCGGTTCTATACTCTCTTATGTGAAGGAAGAAATGCCGAGAAATGCATTCATACCAAAACTGGAGAAAAAGGAAAACTTTTTTCTCCCACATCACTAAATAGTTCTTTATTAAAATAACACTTTGTCAACAATTTAACCAATATTACTGATTACCAGACTTTGATGAAAAAAGCCAAAGACTGCTAATGTTAAAAAAAAATTCAAATGATAGCCAAATCTGAGAAGTAGTCTTTCCTAAATTATATCCCTCTTAATCTTAGAGGGGGAAGTTAATAAGTAGTATTTGGATACTTGTCAGTTGTTTTTCTCTTTTTCACATTCTTTGAATACTAGATTTAGACTTGCAGAGTTATTTTCTCTATTCTTCCTTTTTAATAATTCATAAAAGGGAACAAACATAAATTGCCAAGTAGTCTCCTATCAAATCTGTAATATTGGACTGTAGTCACAGTCCAGGCAATTGAAAGTAAATACTGTAAACTCTCAAACCTGTAGCCCGGGTGTGCCTGTCACACATGGTCTATTGTGAACGGAACTGTGGATTAACAAGATCCTGGCAGTTTGTCTTTAACCTGCTTCCTCAATAATGTTTGGATGTGAGATACCAGGAGTGTCTCACGATGATCTTGTTTATCATTTGTGCCATTGGCCGCCATGTGCTATTCGCAAATACAATGGTCATTCTGCACATAGCTCACTCCTGCCTAGTTTAGTCCATGATATTAGTGAGCGCCTATCCAGATGCTGTGTCCTCTATTTAAAACAGTATTGTTCAGTCAGAAATGTGTGGCCCTTCATTTATGGATATTGAATATATGTAATGCAGTACTCTCCCATTATTTTCAATAAAGGAAATTTATGCATTCAGTGTGATTTTCTTTCCTGAGAATTCATTCCGTGGGGACTTGCCATGGGAAAGGGCGCTGAAGCACCCAATAGTAAGCGAAGAGCAATACTTATGTGTTCATTGCCACCCTGGCAACTCCCACTTTATTCGATTTATTCTTGTAACCAGCCTCTTAAAAACTCTGCCTTCTATTGTTACTTGGGACCTCTCTTGGCTCTGTCTACCACCACCTTCTCTGTTCTTCTAAGCTTTCTAAGCCCTCTTTTAAGCATCGCTCTTGATCAGTTTTCTAATCTCCGCGAGAAGCATGCTGATAGATTTGCGTCATCTTCTTGGTTTCGCTGTATCTTCACGGCCAACCTGACACCAAACTAAAGAGAAAGGGCCCCAGCTCAGCTTGACTGTCGCTCAAGTGCTCACTTCGTAAGTTTCGGATTAAAGGGCATCCAAATGTTTCATCAGCCTCTGTTGAAAAGCATTTAGCTGTGTCTTTGTGCTCTGAGCAACCAGGGACACCCAAGTGTCAGAAGGATGCATGCCCTTCACAGCCTCTCCCTTCCTCAATATATCAAGTTTTAAAGGCATACGAAACAAAACTAATCATGAACAACTCCTTTTGAGGAAGGCATCGAGACTCTCAAGCTAGAAAGGAAAGCTAAAATGAATGACCTTCTTAAGATGACCAGCCCATTTCTACCAAGATAATCAGATGAAACAAGGAGAGGAGGTTAAAACAAGGGAAATTCCAGAAAACTAAAGGCAGCCCCACTCACTTCTTGTGTAAACATTCAAAATAGTTGGAAGTACTTCCTTCTGCCCAATTGGGTCACATATATTTTTCTCCCTCCGGGGAAGCCCTAGCCTCAAGGGACCACATCCTCTGCTTCCATCTGCTTGCCTGTAACCGGTCTTCATCACGGTTCCTAAGAGTCACTGTCTTTTCAACGGGGAAAATCAAGCTTCACAATGGACACCCAAATCTAAGGGCTTCCATCACGCCTTTCTTTGGCAAGTTTCTAGGGGTTCAAAATACAGTCATGCCAATGGCCTTTCTTTGGGGAGTGGGGGGTGTCTTTCATTTGCGAGACCAGCACGATCCAAAAGAACTTTCAGCAATGACAGAAATACTCCACGGATTTCCACTGTCCACTCTACGATAGGCACTAACCGTATGCAGCTTTGAGTACTTGAAATGTGGCAAGTGACTGAGGAACTGGGATTTTATTTCATTTCAGGGGATTTTCTTTTTAAACGTTATTTCAATTCAGATGGCCAACTGGGGACAGCACAACCATATTGACTAGTGTGACTCTCAATCAAGATGTTAGTGCCCAGTCACAGTTCCATTAGCAGTGACCTCGCCCTAGACCGGCTACACTCGGAAGAAACCTTTGTTCTCAAGCACTCTGTGTCTGCCATTATGGGTCTTCACACAGCCCGGCGCCCCCTAAGGTGTGTATGTGTGGGTAACCTCAACAACACGTCAACAACAAAACAGCGACCCCAGTGTGTTTCAGCGAAGAACTGTTTTCTTTTCTTTCTTTTTTCCCCAAGTTTTCTTGGCGCTTCATTCACATATCATACAGTTCAATAGTTCAACCATATCAAGAAGAGTTGGGCGCTCTTTACCACAATTTTAGAACATGTTCTTTTTCCATAGGATTTTCGGTGGCTATAACCTTACAGAAATAAATTGCTAGATCACACTTCTGTAGCACCACTGGGTGGATTTGAAACATCAACCTTTCTGATAGGTGAGTGCTTTTGAGCCACCCACCCAAGGGCTAAGGGGCTTGGGACCTGAATTCCTCCATAGTCTTTTCATACTGAAAATCTACATCTCTGGGAATTCCGGCACTCATCCCTAAGCAAATATGTTCTCTAATCAGATGTAATATGGATTTCTTTCAATACCCAGGCCTTTTCACATTAAGTTTTCAAGCCTGGGTGTCAAATTCCAATATTTTCATGCACCTCTATTCTAAGCATTCCACTGCTCACAGAAGCGCTACAGAATGCCATCGCCCTCAGCAGGCATCCATTCACAACTCCTAATGGACCAAAGGGAAAAAGAGGAAAGGAATCCCTTCCTTCTACACAAGGATGCCTCGAGAGAACCACCAGGAATAATGGAAGCCCTGAGAATACCTTAGTGCTATTCAGTAACTAATTTTTCTTCCCAAGTGTTCCTGGTGGAATGACCACTAGCTCAGAGAATCTACCTACATGTGGTAAAAGGGCTTCACTCTCCACTGCTAGCGGAGCCCGGTGGTGTCGTGGTTGTGCTGCGATCTGCATGGATGGGCTGTGGAACCCCCAGCAGCTCCCTGCGAGAAAGACCAGGCTTTCTCCTCCTGTAAACTGTTACAGTCTGTCAGGGAGTTTGTTTTTTTATCAACAGTTACAGTGAAGGATCATCTAAAAACACCAGAGAGACCATTACATAGCCTAGTGTTACATTGGCCATTAACAAAGGGCCTGTCATCATTTGACCAACCTTCTTATTTCTAGGGTTACCAAAGGTATCCCTGATCTAGTTTGCTGTAATCCTTAAGGGAAATGCTAAGCTCGAAACACCTAGCCTTGTTCATGTTCAACAATCTTGGATGGAAAGGCATGTTTCCTCATGCCTCCTCAGCTAAAAAATACTTACCTTGATACTATATTGAAAAAATTGAAATCCAGGCAATTTAAACCTTCAATTTCCATAATTCTCAACTGGCCGATGGATCCACTACATTCTACCGGAAAGCTGACTGAGTTGAGACTTTTGAAGTCTACAATTAACAATAAGAATATTCTTACAAAGATGTGCTGGTAGAGATACTGCCGTCAAGATGGAGTGCTGTTAAATGGATCCTTAATTGCTTCATCCTGAACAAGGCCAGTCTTGTTCTTTCATAAAAGCCATGAGATCTTCCGAAACACGGATAGATATGGCAGGGAGGTCAGATCCTCCAAAGATAGGTTTAGCATAGAAGGTTCCAGGGAACGCTGGCATAGATCTCTTTCAGGCTATATCATTAGGTGATTCCTCCATTAGAAGCTATTCATTGAACAAATACCATACTGCTTACTTTATGCCAGGTACCATTTTAAATGGTAAGAATCATACCAGTCATGGAGTAATTGTTATCATTATCCCCACCTAACAGCTACGGGAACTGGGACATCAAGGTTAGACAGCTTATGACGCAAGACCACATAACTAGTAAACTCCAGAGCTGAGATTCAAACTCAAGGACTCTGACACCGAGTTCAAGCTCTTAGCTATTGGTCCCTCTCAGGCTTTAGGAACTTTCAACTCCATTTGGGTGACAGTTACTGCTGCAGTAGATGTCCCCCGACTCAGAGTGACCATACAGGACAGAACTTCTCCACGGGTTTTCTGAAATTCTTCATCTTTATGGGAGCAGGCAATCTTATCTTTCTCCTGCAGAGAGCTGCTGGTAGGTTCGAACTGCCAACCTTGTGGTTACCAGCCCAACATTTATCCCACGGTCCCACCAGGGCTCCTTTACCTGAGTGATCTGTAAACTTATTATATCCTTTTTGTAATGTAAAAAGAAGCATATATTTGTATACTGTTATGAGTTTGCCCTTTTAATTTACATAAATTAAGAAGGGCAACACTTTATATCAGTATATGCAGATTTACTTCATTTTTCATTGCATGGATCTGCCAATTAACCAACTTTTCATAATGAACTTTGTTTTTCATTTTTGCTACTAATAATTCTTAGTACACAACCTATTGTGTACAACTTTGTGTATTTGTGAATAACATAGCCATAGAAAAATATTTATAAGTGAATCAGAAAGTGTGTGCATAATTTTAAAGCTACTGTTCTTCCACAAAAGTTAAGGCTTTGTTACTTTACAGCATTTAGTTTGCTGGTTTACTGTGCTCAGGAAGCTAGTTACTGGTTAACTTATACCCTCATCAATACTGGTTATTGTCCATCTTAAAAAAAAAAAATTGCCCAAGCTTGTATTTTGTTTATTTTTCATTCTTTAAGAATGAATGAGGTTAAACATTTCCCCACTTGAATATTAACTAGTTGTCTTCTTTTGTGGATAATCTGTACATTTTTCCCACTGGAATATTTATCTTTTTCTCATTGATTTGTAAATATTCTTTGTATACCCACAAAATTAGCCCTGTTTATGTACATATGCTTGTTGAAAATATTTTGCTCAGTTTCCATTTTCAAAACACATAAGTCTTAAAATTATCTCTTCATCTTTAGATTTAGCCATTTTTTTATGACTTTGGGACTATGATTTTTAGGATCCAATCAAATTTATTAGGCTTGATTTCACTTCTCACTGTCCCACCTCCTAAGAATATGAGTTCACATCACCATGTGCCTTCTCTGGGCTTACATTCTGTGCTACATTCTTCAGAATATGTAGGAATGACCTCCCTGAACTTCAGCTTGTACTGACCTCTAATTATTACACTCTTATCACATATCAACATCTTCAGGCAAGGCCCTAGAACAAGGATGTTCACTTTAAATAACATCCTTCAGTGAGTAAGTGCCGTTCCCTTCTCTGTAACATGAGGATGGAAGGATTTCTGCTCAAATCTCTAACGCTCCTTCAGAGTGCTTGCTGAGGACTAACTAGCATATTAACAATAATCATGAAGACAAGGGCGAGCACATGTTATACTTACTTAGGTTGATTACATCTCCTTTTTATATGCATTCTCTCTTGATTCTCAAAATGAAGATAGTCCTTTCTAGAGAAGAGGAAACTGACTCTTTAACACAGGCACATAGCAATGAAGTCCCGGACGGAAATGAAAACAGACTGTGAGGCCAGGGCGTGGCACCCGGTCAGACTCAGCCGGAAAACACTCCTTAAGGTCAAAAAAACAGACCTGGAACTATTTATAGGCTTTTCTTTTCTTGTTGTTGTTGTTGTTTTGTTTTTCTTTTGTCTTGTTTTTGTGCTTATTATTGACTCTGCATGTCTATCTAGATGAGATAGGCAGGATAAACAATCTGGAGGA